CACCCATTCTTGGTTTCATCATCGAGTACAGAACTGCATCTGGTAAGTGTCCAACTTTTCAGTGTTTTTTCCCTCTTCATTTCCATTGGAAACCCTCTCGATCCAAATTTCAGTTCAACCTTTTTTTCTCCTTCTCATTCAATCATTATCTTTCCACTTTGACAGAAACTTGGTCTTCTGGGAAAACTTTGTACATTAGTGAAAGTTCAGCCAACTCAATTATAATCACAGATCTTTATCCATCAACATCATATTATCTGAGGATTTCTGTGGAAAATGCTATTGGTCGAAGTGAATTTAGCCAAGAATTGTTTTTCATAACTCGAATGGAAGGTAAGACTCCTTGAGATTCAACATTTGTTTCACTCTCCAAACTCTGTATTTTTTTCACAAAAACATTCTTTTACTTCTTTTCCATTCAATTTTCAGCTCCAAAAGTTGTGCCTGAAAACATTACCGCAGTGCCTTTAGATTCAAAATCTGTTCGTATAAGTTGGATTATTCGGGATTCCCTTGAAACGGGTGAAGGTAAACCTCGAAAGGGAGTAATTGAAGGCTTTTACATTGGCTATAAAATTGCTTCAACACAAGGATCATTTACTTATAGCACCATGCACCTGCCTGACCCTAACGAGTCTGCCAACTCTGGCAACTCAGTGACGGAAAGCTTACTCAATGTGCCATCTTATGAAGAGTCAACCAACAGAATTGTTTACAATTCAAACTTTAACCAACCAAAAGAAATGAAGAAATATCAAACTGTCATTTCTTCCCTGAAAAAATCGACCAAATATGCGATAATTGTTCAAGCATTCAACAAAGAAGGTGAAGGTCCATATTCAGACCAAATTGTCGTGGAAACTTTTGCAAATGGTAATTCGACATTTAACCAAAAACTTGCTTATTCCAATTTAGCATTTCCAAAACTCATCCAAAAGTAAAATCCTTTTCCAATTCAATTATAACTTTAGTGACAATGATTCAAGAAAAACTCTTTTTCTGTATCAAACCAACACCTAAAGGTACAATTAACCCATTCTTGCACTTGAACCCATGAAATGGTCAACACAAATTCAATTAGATTGCTTTTTTGCATCACCAATGACCATGCAATTTAATCAAACTTTATTTCCAAGTTTCAATGGAAACACTTGAAATACTCAGAAAGTGCTTGCAAGTGCAAAAAGATTGAAAGCTATTTTTACACTTTTATCAAGCAAATGAACAAAAGTCAATCGAATGACCAGATTTGTCCAGCATGGTTCGTCTTTAAACATTGAAAATTGAGTAAATAAATTGTTTCTAATGAATCATTTATACCACAAAATGAAACACGTTCAAGGCTTGTTGACTTTACTTTTTGTTTAACTTTACCTTTAAATGATTACTAAACAAATAGAGCAAATTTGGTAAACTTGAAAGTGAATCATGAAATGATCAAAGTTAAACTCGTAAAATGAGCAAAAGTTTTTTCTCTGCTTTTCTCTTGTCAACAAAATTATCTCATTAAGACTGATTTAAAAGAATTAATAATCAGTGGAAAAGTGAAACAAAGATATCTGTTGAAAATAATGTAGTACAGTAGTCAGGGTTGATTGAATTCTGTGAATGAATGCACGAGCCTTTTCTTTTGATCCATTGAACTGGAAAATACCTTTTGTCAGGTTAAACAAGTTTAATATGAAAGCAAGACTAAATTGAATCATGATTCATGTGACCAAATTTGTTCCAATTGACCTGAAAATTAACCAAGAAATACACCCAATGGAGAAGAAGAAAAGAACCAAAAAACTTCTTTTTTGCTCTTCTTCTTCTTCCAATTGTCTAACATGGTTGATGAATGGAAAACAAAAGCGCAAAGAACAAAAAACTAGCTCAACTACTCGTCATGATTAAACAAATGCTTGGAATATTCATTAGAATTCTGTTTGAGAAATGTTTTGATATTCCAATCATTATCATTTTCCATATCATTAGAGTTTGGGTCAATGATGGGATCAATGGAAAAACATTAAAATCGAAACATTTGCAAAGGGAAAACAATGAATTTGATATTCACCAACTTTACCCTTTTGAATTTCAATTGAATCATTTCTTTGCATTTGCTTTTTTCTTATTTACTTGGAATAAAAGTTAACATTAAAAGTTGATCAGCAACACGAGTTTGTGTTTCAACTGGCAACGTTTTTCCCTGCACAAATCAAACTCGAATCATTCATTTGAAAATCTCAACATTTTGTTCCAAGAGTAAAGTAAAGAGAAAGAAAAAATTCCCTTCCAATGAGTATTTTCATATTTTTTTCATAGCTTTACTTGATTATAATAGTTTCAATTGTGAGTCTCTTTTTGTTGCTTTCTTTTGCAAGAGAAAAAAAAACCATTTTCTTTTTGATGACTTAAGTCGTTAACATTGTTTCTTTTAAATCGTTAGACAAAAAGATGATCAAAAAATGAGAAATTTTTTTTTCTCTCTTTTCTTGTATAAAAAATGATTCCAAGTATCGTTATTATTCTGAACGATTGATTCACTTGAAAACTTTTCTTTTCTCTCGATATAGCTTTAGAGTAGTTTTACATTTCTTTTCAACATCTTTCATTTCACTTGACATCCTCATCATTTTGTCTCCATGTTCATCTTGGTAAACATGGTTCATCACAAATTTAGCCAATTTGAAAAATAGAACCAAGAATTGAACAAATTTATTCTTATTTACATTAAATTCTCTTTTCATTTGTTTTCTAATTTTTCTGACGACCATCACATTATAACTATGCACAGTCATGGAAACCAAAAATCTCATTGCACTATTTAGTTATCGTACTTTATTCCAACAAAAACCATTCAATTATCAATACAACTTGTAATGTGAGTAGTAGGAAAGCATACGCTTCTGGAACACTAGTACGTGTAAAGGTATGAAGAAAAGAAAGGGATATGAGAAAGAGAAATATAATAAGCTGTTGACTCAAGCACATTTAAAGGAGAACAATAATTTAAAACTAATAAATGGTGAAAATGAGAAAATCATTATGCGGCCGCGGCCGATCTCGCGCGATTAAACATTTCTTTAATCACGATGAACTCGCGAGATAAACGAAATCATTGAACACGCGAGATTAACGAAATCAACTATTTCGCGAGATAAATGAATTCAAAGTATGATTAGACATTAAAAAAATGTGATCTT